GACAATTTTACTTCCTCCTTTCCAATTTGGATGCCTTTTATTTCACTTTCTTGTCTGACTGCTGTGGCCAGAACCTCCAGAACTATGTTGAAGCACAAGCCATTTTTTAAAAAATTTTATTTAACTAAATTTATTGGGGTGACAATTGTTAGTAAAGTTACATAGGTTTCATGTGTACAATTCTGTAATACATCATCTATATATCACATTGTGTGTTCACCACCCAGAGTCAGTTCTCCTTCCATCACCATATATTTGATCCCCTTTACCCTCATCTACCACCCCCCCCCTTACCCTCTGGTAACCACTAAACTGTTGTCTGTGTCTACAAGTTTTTGTTTCTTTGTCTTGTTCCTTTGTTGCTTTCAGTTTTATATCCCACATATGAGTGAAGTCACATGGTTCTCAACTTTTTCTGACTTATTTCACTTAGCCTAATATTCTCAAGATGCATCCATGATGTCGCAAATGGCACTATTTCATCTTTTCTTATGGCAGAGTAGTATTCTATTGTGTATATGTACCATGTCTTCTTTATCCAATCATCTATCGAAGACACTTTGGTTTTTTCCATGTCTTGGCCACCGCGAATAATGCTGCAATGAACATCAGAGTGCATATATCTTTATGGATGAATGTTTTCAAATTTTGGGGGTAGGTACCCAGAAGAGGGATTGCTGGGTCATATGGTAATTCTATTTTTAATTTTTTGAAGAAGTTCCATACTGTTTTTCATAGCGGCTGTAGCAATTTACATTCCCACCAACAGTGTATGAGGGTTTATCTCCACAGCCTCTCCAACGCTTGTTATTATTTGTCTTGCTGATGATGCCTTTCTAACAGGTGTGAGGTGGTATCTCATTGTGGTTTTGATTTGCATTTCCCTAATAATTCGCGAATTTGAGCATTTTTTCATGTATCTTTGGCCATTTGCATGTCTTCTTGGGAGAAGTGTCTGTTCAGCTCCTCTGCCCATTTTTTAATTGGATAGTTTGTCTTTTTGTTGTTGAGCTATATGAGTTACCAAGGTCCATTAGTACCTACGCCTTCTTCTATGCAGTTTATTGTTTCAGGTCTTATGTTTAGGTCTTTGATAATCTGGAGCTAATTTTTGTACATGGTGACAGCAGTCTCGTTTCATTGGCTTTCCAATTTTCCCAGCACCACTTATTGAAAAGGCTTTCTTTTCCCCATTGTGATTTTGGCTCCTTTGTAGAAAATTATCTGTCCTTACTTATGTGGGTTTATTTCTGGATCCTCAATTCTATTCCATTGGTTTGTGTGTTTTTCTGCAAATACCACGCTGTTTTGATTATTGTTGTCCTGCAGTACAAGCTGAAGTCAGGGAGTGTGACACCTCTGGCCTTATTCTTTTTTCTCAGGATTGCTTTGGCTATTCGGGGTCTTTTGTGATTCCATACAAATCTGATGATTTTTTTGTTCTATTTCTTTAAACAATGCAATTGGGATTCTGACAGGGATGACATTAAATCTGTATATTGCTTTGGGTAATATGGCCATTTTAACTATGTTGATTCTTCCAATCCATGAACACAGAATGTCTTTCCATTTCTTTGTGTCGTCTTCAATTTCTTTTAAAAATGTCTTACAATTTTCAGTGTGTACGTCCTTCACATCTTTTGTTAAGTTTATTCCTAGGGATTTTATTCTTTTTGTTGCAATTGCAAAAGGAATTGTAGTTTTCATTTCTTTTTCTGAAATTGCATTGTTAGTATATAGGAATGCAATGCATTTTTGTATGTGGATTTTGTAGCCAGAAACTTTACTCTATTTGTTTATTGTTTGTAATAGCTTTTTGGTGGGGTCTTTAGGGTTTTTTATATAAAGAATCATGTTATCTGCAAAAAGTGACAATTTAACTTCTTCATTCCCAATTTGGATGCCTTTTATTTCTTTCTCTTGCCTGACTGCTCTGGCCAGGACTTCTAATACTATGTTGAACAACAGTGGTGATGGGGGACAACCCTGTTTTGTCCCTGAATGCAGAGCAAACAGCATCAGTTTTTCACCATTATTTATGACATTAGCTGAGGGTCTGTCATAATTAACGGTGAAATAATCATAGACGCAGACATTTCTTAAATGAGCAATGGGCAAAGCAAGGACTGTACAAGACAAACCCAAACAGAGCATGTGTATACTTCATTATAAGCTTCAGCCACTGGGCAAAGATCCACCATCCCTGCTCTTTGTCTGGCTCATGAAAATGATAAGTTGCTCTGTGGATAGTGACTACACTCTAATTGTTTTTATGGTAAATGAAGCATGAAACCCAGTGTCCAAAACATGATGTCCAGAGAGCACAGACATGCTTTGTCTTCCCAGCACATCACCCCCAGGGGTTTGAACTCTGTGGGGCCCAGAACATTCGAAACACCATGTCCTCACATTTCTCTGAGGGAGAACTTTTAGGGAAGAGCCCCCCACTCTTATTTTTCTCGTGTTTCCTTCTGTGCAACAGAAGAACCGTCCTGAAGTATGCAACTCTGTTATACAGAATGATGGCAACACACCTAAGGCAGACGCAGGAGGGAAGGGGCTTGGCAAACGTCTCCTCTTTAAACTAAGCATATAAAGTTATGCTGACAAACGTCAGTTCCACCCTTTGTACTATAAGAATCCTGTTGCTAACACAATTCCATAACTCATTATTTAGCCTTATTCATCAGAAACTAATCAGAGGGTACGCTCACAGCCTATTGCTGGTTTCAGACCAATAGATTTCATTTTATGAAGTTCCCCTCTGTTATCCTTTAATGAACATACACTTAGTGGCTGAAATATTTCCTAGATCAAGGCATTTTCTGGGGAATTTCCCTCTCCAGCACGTAGTTTGCAGGTCCTGTGAGCAGGAACCACAATCTGTTTTGATCAACTGCCTCCATGAATAGACAAGTATGTTACGATACCAACGTTTGGATGAAGTCGTTTCCTCCTGCTGCTCTCCACCAAACTCCACGCCTCTCAAATTTAATTCAAATCTATGTGTGTACATATTAATCACATCCTATGAGTGGGCACCCTGCCCTGAAGCTGCACCAGATTCAGAGAGGCCATCGAGGACCTGAAGCTTCAGTGTCCTTGGACTGGTTCCAACTGAAAAATGAGTAGTCGGTTGTGTGGGACGGCACTGGGGGCAGGTAAGGCTATGTTCTTATGATAACCCACACAGCACCCGTTCTATCTGGAGCCTGACACCGAATTCTTTAGAGTGGAATTAGAAACGGCACTTCTTTGATAGATTCCTTCTTGTTCCAGTGTACCGGCAACTAATCCTTACTACACTGGATCAAACAGACGGGCACAATCAATCCGGGGAAAGCAGGCAGTGCCAGGCTCCTCAATCTTCCCTCAATGAGTAGCAGAGGCGGGGGGTGAGAGGGGCAGGAAAGAGGAAGAAAATTCCGGCGTGCCTGCACCCAAGACGGCTTCGCCAAGGCAAAGATGAAAAGACACGCTGAAATATCTATCCTGGCGGGTGGAAGCGCTTGCCATCCGAGGGACAGGCTGAGACATCACAAGGATGCCATGCCTTCGGGCCACGGAGGGGCAGTGACAGGGGCAGGGGCAGAAGGAAGGGGTGTGATGTCACAACAAAAGACATTGGCGGCAGCGAACGCTGGAGAGCAATGAGACCCCCATTGACGGAAGCGTCCCCCCTGTCTGTGATCTATAGCACAGGGTGATGAGGGAGTTAATTACGGCGCTTAGGTAACTAAGTCTCACGGAAGCCGGTGCCTTCCAAAGCAGTATTACTTTATGCTGCTAGATCACTCTAGCCTTGACTGGCCATTTGCTGAGAAGTCGCACTGGAGCAGCCGCCGAACGGTGGCAGGAGGAAAATGAATGAAAATGAGCTAGAAATAAGATGACCTCAGTATTAACGGCTTTCTCCCTGCCTTTGGACATGACGTACCACATGAGATTTTTTTCCCCCCTTATTTACCAGTCAACACTTCTTCCCCTAACAGCCATTCCCTTTAAATGTGGCATCTTAGCCCGGGCTCCGACTTTTCCTGATCCTCTCCTCTCTTGCATGGCCATTGTATCATCTTTTCTGGCCCCCTGAAACTGTTTTGGTCAAGTCTAAAATATCTGTCCACAGGAAAGCACACCAGAAGGGCTCCTTTAGATAATGGTTCCCCCCCCCCACCCATTAACAACCGTCATCATTTTCAGAGCCCCACCCTTCCCTGCCATGGCTAAGTCAGGTCCTCCAGGTCAATGTGGACTCCGTCTTTAGGTGATCCCTCTCATATTCTGAGCAGGAATGTCGTTATCTAAGGACAGAAGGATTAAAGCATTTCTTGTCCCCAAGTGCCCAGATGCTGCCATTTTGTTTTGCTATGCAATGGCTCCCAAATGAGATCTGTACAGATATAAACACACAACCGGCAAATACAAGCATATGTAGATAGTGGTAGTTGTGCACGTGTGTCACACCAAGCTGCATCTTCATTACCATAAGCACGTTGTATCAATTATACACATTTATAAATGCATGTAACTTTATACTTGCATTTCTGTGTACGCGTACGCAGCGTCCTCCTTGTGTTCAGCAGGAAGTGAGGGTATCGCGGGTCTGGCTCTGATTGGTAGCTCCTCCATGCTTGTTTGTCAAAGCCCCGTAGGTCCACTGGACTTTCATTTCTGACATATTCTCCCATAGCAGCACAAAGGTAAAAATCCCCCTCCCACCCCTGTGAGCATCCTACCTCTGGAGGTGGAGGTCCAGCACTTCCTCCTCAGCATTCAGTAGGGTGGCCGCACGGCTCAGGAGCTGATGGCTGCAGGTGACGGATTTGAGCTCCAAGATGAGGAGACCCAGGCAGAACATGGCTCCCATCTCCTCCAGTTCATGGGTGCCAAACTGTAGACCCTGCCGGGGAGACAAAGCAGCCAACGGTGACTCTACTGAGTGGAGACCATTTCAGAATGGGAGGAGGGACTTCCGGACACCTGTCTATCGCAGATACTGAGAATTCATATTATTTCTCAGCCCCTGTTCGATGTGTTTTGTTGTGTGCTCTGTGGATGGGTGGTTGTCAGCCTGCATTACGTTGACATCCAGGGCTTCCCAGAAGTACCCAAGACAATGAGCTGGTAGGGAACTGTCAGGCAGAAGGGTGGGTGAGAACTGGACGTCACCTCACCCAGATAGAAGCAGCCGTGCGTCTATCTGTATTTTTAAAGGGTATTTGCTGCTGAAACAAAAGTGTGTAAACAATCTAAGAAATTCCCTTTCTCTCCCGTAAATGTATGAACCAATGGAGAAGACCGAGGGTGGGTCCTTCATATATAAACACCGAAACCTAAAAAACACAGCTATTTATTACAAACCACCTACAGAGCTGTACTGAGATAATGCCTGAATGCCCAGCCATGATATGTGCTTTCTGCTATTATTCATGAAGTAACAGGTGATGACAACAATTAACAAACAACTTTACTGCACATTTCCTATGTGCCAGGTACTGTTCTGAGCCCTTTTAGGTGCATCAGCTCGGTGACTCCTTACCTGAGCCCTGTGAGGTGGGTATCATTACTCTCTCCATTCCATAGAGAAGACATTTAAACCCACAGAGCTGATACTTCACCCAGGGCCTCGCAGCTAGTAACACACACCCACAAGTGAATTCTGACTTGACTACTCAACAGGAAGTGCTATACATGGACTGAGAGGGACTCTATTTCATGGTGAGGTAGGATGTGCATGGTTTTTGAAATTAGGTTGGCATCCTGATTTCACTATTCTCCATCAGTGTCATATTAGACTTAATGAACTTTATTAGCCTTGATTTGCTCATCTGCACAATGGGATGATAATTCTTCCCTCCCTGCACTTGGGCATGTAATTATAAGGAATATTTCAACGTCTTCACAATACTGATCAACATTCGCTCAGGTTCTCTTTCCTTCTTCCTAGTAAAGATGTTTACTAGGACAGAATTCAAAGTGGTCCTGAGGTCTTTGGTGTGTA